GGCGCCGTCCAGGGGAAGCTGTCGGCCGCCCTCGTGCGCGTGCAGGCGCTCGAGTCCAAGGTCGCGGACCTCGAGGAGGAGCTCGTGCGCACGCAAGGGGTGCACGAGATGGCGGCCCAGCAGGCTGTGGCCCTGGCGGGCGCTGGCGCGGCTGGGGAGGTGGGCCACTGGCCGGCAGGGGAGCTGGTTGGTCGGCTCGCCCTGGAAGCGCCGCTCCTCGCGGCGGGCCTGGCCGCGGAGCATGGGAACGTGACTTCCCCGTGCGTGCCGACGCTGGGCAAGCAGAGGCGCAACGCGGCGGCGCACGTCTTCGACATTGCGGTGGCGGTGATCGAGAAGGCGGGCAAGGCGGAGCTCAACGCCATTCAGCGTAGTTTTGGGCGCCGCATTCGTTCGACCGCAAGGCAGGGCCGCGGTGGCGGTCGGCTACTTCGTGGTGCGGGCGCTCGTGACGGTGCTCTTCCTCCACGCCGTCCCGCTGGCGCTGCTCCGCAATCTAGAGGGCGCAGACGCTGCGTGCGCAGGCCTCTGTCGGCGACGGCGGCGCCCGCTCGCCGCGTGCCTTCCGCGCGCGCCGCGGCCGATGCGGTGCCGCTGCACTGGGCCCTGGCTTGCCGCCGTGGGCGCAGCCTGCAGCCAGGCGCCGTCTTCGCGCTGTCCGAGCGCGTTTGCCGCGCTCCCGAGCCGATGCCTGCGCCTCCGGCGTCGGGCGCGCGTTGGTGGAAGTGGGTCGGCGGTGGCGGCGACGACGGCGGCGCTAGCCTTTTCTCGCCTCCCGCTGGCGAAGATCCCCACCCAGAAGACATGCTGGGCTCCTGCATCTCCTCGGGCGTCGGCGGCAACGACGGCGACAGCTTCGGCGGGCTCTCCAGCCCCGAGGCGGCTAAAGACGGTGACCGGGAGGGCGCAGGGGTCTGCAGCGCAGCCTGCGCGGCCACCCTGCCCATGCACTGCTGCGCTCCTCATCGGGGGCACCGTCGGGCCAGAGGATGGCAAAAAGGGACTTCGGGCACCAGCATTCCTTGGACGGCGACGCCCGCGTCGACGCGGAGGAGACCATGATGTTGGAGGTCGGCGGCACTGGAGGCGCCCCCTCCAGTGCGGAGGGGGCCACGTCTAGCGGGGCCGCGCGGTTGCGCGTGCTGCAGCGGCACGTTCGCGGCAGCGTCGATGTCTTTCCCGACCTCGGCCGTCCCCTCTCACAGCCGGCTGCTGAGCGAGGTGACATCGCCCCCTTCTCCCAGTTGAGCGAGGCTAGGCCCAGGAAGATGTTCCGAGACCTCTGCGCTCGTCGTTCGACGGGGATACCTTTTTATTCGCAGTGATGTGTAATCCGAAATACACTGTCTTGGCGATTCCTCGTCTCACAACGTGGTTTTGTTTATTCCCAACAATCCTGTGGTGTTGGGCCGTCGTTTTGAAGAGACGGTCTCCGCGTTCTCCTCCTTCCTCCCTCCTCCTCCCCCTCCTCCCTCTTCCCATCATCATCATGATCATCATCACCACCATCACACCCAGTACAGTGTTTCGTGGCCCATGGGGAGCTCCGCCCAAGGCCCCAATGGGTTTGGCCACATGCGTCCGCCACACACAATACAACGTTTCGTGGCCCCATAGGAGCTCCACGTAAGGCCCCAGTGGGGGTGGCCACGTGCGTCCGCCACACCCAGTACAGCGCTTCGTGGCCCCATAGGGAACTTCACCTGCGGCCCCAGTGGGGGTGGCCACTTGCGTCCGCCACGCCCATTGTAGCGTTTCATGGCCCCATATGGAACTCCAGTTGCGGCCCCAGTGGGGGTTGCCACATGCGTCCGCCACACCCAGTGTAGCGCTTCGTGGCCCCATACGGAGCTCCATTTGCGGCCCCAGTGGGGGTGGCCACATGCGTCCGCCACACCCAGTACAGCGTTTCGTGTCGCCAATGGGAGTCCCACGTGAGGGTCCAGTGGGGGTCGCCACATTCGCCCGCCACGCCCACTACAGCGTTTCGTGTCCCATACGGAGCACCACTTGCGGTCCCAGTGGTGGTGGCCATATGCGTCCGCCACACCCAACGCAGCGTTTTGTGGCCCCATAGAGAGCTCCGCCTGCGGCCCCCTTGGTGCTGGCCACATGCGTCCGCCACATCCAGTACAGCGTCTCGTGGCCCCAGCTCCACCTGCGGCCCCAGTGGGGGTGGCCACATGCGTCCGCCACACCCAGTACAGCGCTTCGTGTCCCCAGATTGAGTTCCACTTGCGGCCCCAGTGGGGGTGACCACATGCGTCCGCCACACCCCGTGTAGCGTTTCGTGGCCCCAATGGAGCTCCACCGGTGGCCCCAGTGGGGGTGGCCACATGCGTCCGCCACGCCCACTACGCCGTTTCGTGGCCCCATATGGAGCTCCACCCAAGGCCCAATTGGGGGTGACCACATGCGTCCGCCACACGCAGCACAGAGTTTCGTGGCCTGATAGAGAGCTCCACCTGCAGCCCCAGTGGGGGTGGCCACATGCGTCTGC